TCCATCAACCAATAAACTAATAAATCGATGATCATGAACTTTGCTTATCAAATCACAGGGTTGGTACAACTTTGTTGGGGCACAGCCATCAATGGAGGTTGTGACAAAGGAGAATCTAGTCTCCATCGTGGACCACAAATAAGGCCACAGGACCGAGAAGCTTGTTGAGTATCCTATGCAAATCCCACGCACTACCACTCAAGGATGGAGCCCACAGCTCCTCTACGAACTTCCCCATGATGTCTTCTCTAGTGCCTAAACCCACCCACCCATTTTGCTATTATTTCCCTAAACTCCCCTTCCAATTTTCCTGTCAATATGTTTAGTGTCCTTCTACTATTATTGGCTTTTTATTGCGTTATTATGTCTTATATCGTGAGGTGCGTTATTGTGCCTTAAGCTTCACGGGACTTGAAGTCCCGTGAAGTTGGCGACACCACAAAACTTCACGGGACTTCAAGGCCCGTGAAGTTTTGGGACACTAATGAACTTCGTTATGGTGCGCTTAAACTTCACGAGACTTGAAGTCCTGTGAAATTTTGTAAACTTCACGGGCCAGTTAGCTGAAACTGGGTCGAATTTGGTAAATAAACTCTAAACATATCGTTTTTGGCAATTAAGTTTCTAAATAGGTTGGTTTTGAAAATTTGTCATAAAAGTGGAGATGAAGAGAGAATAGTCCACACTGAGAAAGCGAAGGAAGTCAAGAGAGAAGATCGAAAATGGTAAATGTCACCATTTTAGTGATTAATTCGAATTCACGGGCTACTATAGTATTAAAATCTAGGCATAATGAGTCAATTCCACCTTCTCAAAGATTTTCTTGCATCCAAATGCTAGAGTTGTTGCAATTCCATTAATTTCAATGAAAATACTAGCATCCAAACATACCATTAGGGGATACGAGCATATCTGTTAGCATGTAGTCCGATTAATATTTTTCTTTTTGGGTAATAACAAACTCTCGTCTGATAATAATATTGGTTTGAGATGATATAGTGCCGATAAATATAGATAAAAGAAGCATACAAGGTGACGTAGAAATTAACTAAAAAACTTACTTTAGCCTTCTACCATTGATGGTAGACATTGACTATCAATGCTAATAAGAGCTCAACAATGGTTAATATATGTTATCGATAATTTTGACTCCTGATTTTCATATCATCGATGAGCTTATCATCCATCGATTGGGCCTTAAAACCATCAATGATAAACACGGTTGATCGCAAAATTTTAGATTTAATGACGGTCATTCGTCGTTTATAATATCTCCAACCTTTATCATGTTTAGGATATTTTTTCCCTGGCCTATTAGTTTGTATATATCAGAGAGAGAGAGAGAGAGAGATGAAAAAGGGTTCTAGGGTTTGATAGATGAAAAAGGGTTCTAGGGTTTGATTTATGAGAGATCAAATTTAAGATTTTGAACCCTAGAGTCTTATAAAAGCTCTTACTCGTCGCGTACAATGTTTTCAGATCGCTTCAGCGAGGAGAGTTGCCACTGGAATTATCTTCTTCACCGTTCTTCATTAAGTTATGCTTATATCATTTGAGGGATGGTTTATTCAAACAAAAAGACTGTAAGATCTTCATTGTATTCCGAACTTAATTGATATTTGTTTGGTTTTGTTTTAAATTTCTTTGACTGTGTATTCAAGTCAGTTACATTGAGAGCTACAACTAATTAGGGCCAGAAGTTACTCACTGTAGGAGTTAGGTTAAATCACTGGTTTCAGGTAGATTCTAGAGTGCAGCCTTGTAAGCTGAATTTGTTTTGTGATTAAAATGAACTCTTTGAGGGCTAGAGCTAGCTAGGGCTAGAAGTTATCCATAGTAGGAGCTAGGTTAAACGATTGGTTTTTTTGAGGGCTAGAGCTAGCTAGGGTTAGAAGTTACTCTCGGTAGGAGTTAAGTTAAACGATTGGTTTCAGGTGGATTCTAGGGTGCAATCTTGCAAGCAGAATTGGGTTTGTGATTCAGAAGAACTATTTGCATATTGAGAACTATTTGCATAGTGACGAAGCCCATTCGCAAAAAAGCAGAGCGGACATAGGATTTTTATCCAAACCACTATAAATCTTATGTTAATTGCTCTTAGTGCTTGATTATATTACTTTATATTGTTTATGGCTTTTATTTTGTATATTCAGCTGCGTATTCTGTGGTTTTGATAAAAACCGGTAGTAATCCTATTCAACCCTCTCTAAGCTTGCATCTCAGAGCCAACAATACTCTTCTTTCGAGCAATTAACAATTTAATTTAATTAGCTTGGCTTAGGCCGGCCGGTTGGCCTGAAAAGTTGGGGCGAGCCCATGCAGCGGCCCGGGTTAGGCCGGCCGGTTCATGGGCTTTTGTAGCTGGGTCCGTATCAAATCTAGCCCGATGAAACTCCCCATGGCGCGAAGAGAGAAATTTTTTGGGGGGAAGACGAAGACCCCGAAAATCTTTCCCCCAAAATTAAAACAAAACCCCTTCAAAATTTCCCTCTCTCCACTCTCATTTCCTCTCGCTCTCTCTACATCGCCGGCGCCATCTGTGGTCAAAACCCCT